TCGCTGCCTATCTCGACACCTGTTTCGATGTCCTTCTCGCTCACAGTCAGGGGCACGTAGTCGTGGATCATCTTCCTATCAGTTTCTTCAGCTGGCGGAAAGCGAGAAAGAGCATTTGCTGTCGCTAACTTGCGCCTGTTGGAGAGGGAATTCCTCCAACTGGACCGGCACCTCCCTTTCGTCAAGAATCTCGGTCTTTCTGACGGACTGCCTCCGCAAACTGGCGCTGTAGCTTGGCAACTCTTCCGTTAAAGGTCCTGGCGTGTACATTCGACCCTTCGAATTTCCACCTCCCAAAAGGTCCCTCTCTGCCTTGTCGTTGTCAAGCATGGCCAGGCCTGTCGGAAGGACTGAACGCTCAGAGTGCTCAGTCCAAAAACCGAGGGGCACTCGGGAAGGTCATGCCAGGTCGGAGGCAGTCCCAGTTATGTTGCAATCGACAGTGCTGGTTTTCCTTGACCGAAACCCGACAGTCATGTCTGCTGTTCTTGCACCTTGTCGATAATTGCGACAGTCATGTCTCCTTGAACATGCGGCAGGGGGACAGACATGTGTGAGTTGCGGCAATCATGTGTGGAGATTGACATAACATGTCGGCAGTTGATTGCGTCTGAGGTCAAGCAATGACCACCATGAAAACGACAGTTTCTTCCTCAGGCCTTTTCTAGGTTCAAGAGCACTTTGGAGCCCTGGCAGAGGCTGGCGAATACCCCCGTTTAGAATGCCGCCGACAGACTCCTCGGAGGAAGTCCCTGGCGTCATTGACGCTGCGCGACAGCTACTGGCAGCGATCGACAGGAACCCCGAGTATTATGTGTCACCGGAGCCCCCGTTTTAGCTTAATGGCCACACACAGCACACCACCGGCAGCTTTTTCCTGGTTTCGTTTCTGCTCTCTATGTGCGTGGTCAGCTCAGTCTGAATATCACCAAAACCCAACACGCCCTTCAACAGCAGGACCTAAAACCGTCCCACCCGCCCAACAGGCTGGGGTCATTGGCGTAATGAGCGTGAGGCTCAGTAAAAAAAAAGTTACCAGAGCAGTTACTCTTGGTAGACGGGAGTAGGTTGGGCTTAGAGTTTAAGGTTTCGGGTTTTGGGCCAGTTGTCATGCTGTCCAGCAGTCACATGATCTTTTGGAGGGCTCAAACAGGTTTCAAGCCTTCAGGATGCTAAAAATAATTTTGCAGCCCACAAAATCAGCTGTGTGATTCATGACTGGCAGAAATGAAGCTATTTATGTAGGCATGTTCCGCTGTTGGCACTGTTGTCAAAAGCTGAGCACCTGTGACAAACACATAATGGAAGCGGTCAGTCTCCACATAACCAAAGCACATGACACTGGGCTGTGTAATAGTGCCACCCAACTTTGGGAAGCGGAGACGCAGGCGTGGCTGGAGACCCAGCAAGTTTAGGGTTTAGGGTAAATTAGGGCTTTGGGCCTCGGATTGAGGATTTGAACAAGTGTAAGTTTCACTGCAGATAAGAAAAGCCGATATCCAATCCCGAACACGCAAAACCCTACTCACCCTACTCTGAATCGAATCTACTTGTGTTTCCTGAACTTTCGCAGCCCGAAGTAAAACCTCCAACCTTGACCCTTCCCGAACACTAGCCCCGAACCTGAAATTGCAAACTTAACCCTGCTTGCCGGATCTGACACACCCTCAGAAACTTGACATGAAATCTGAAGTTGAAGGGTCAAAAACAAGTACATCAAAGAAATGAAAGAATTCCCTACGCACAGAATGCATTGTATGCCTGCTTGCAAAAGGGATATGACATGTTGTTTGGATTATAAGGCTGCAAAGTAATTAGGGTTTGGGGCTTAGGGTTAAGGGGTAAAAGTTCAGGTTGAAAGTCTGCAGGTCCCAGCCGTCATCACAATAAGTGAAATGTAGAAATCCTTTGTTTGCTAATGTCAACGGAGCTCGATCGCCCCTGCACCCCAAACCCTAAAGTTGAAACAATAAAGCCTAGGGCCTAACCCTAAACCCTACCCTAACACTAAACCTATTTTGGATTATACAGGAACACAGTCAGCCTTCTCTTGTGGCTGAGAACAATTTGGGCTGCAACTTCGTTGAAACCTAGACCCTAAACCTAAACCCTACTAAACCCTACGCCCTAACCCTAAACCCTACAACCTAAGCCCAAACCCTACACCCCAACTCTAAACCCTAACACCTGTGCCCTAAAGTCTAAACCCTACAACCCAAGCCTAAAACCTAACCCTAAGCCTAAACCCTAAACGAAGCGACAGACTTTTCAGGCCAGCGCTGCATCCAGGAGCGCAATCAGCACGCAAGAGCCTACCTGGCAAAGATGCATGGAGTTCCCCAAACGCTGGACCACCTCGCGAAAGCTGTGTGCATCGGGCACTTGAAGCACACTGTCCGGCACACAGTCTGCGTCTGAACCATTCGTAGCTACTGGCACACCTTGCACTGCCAACAGCTCATCGGGCAGAAGCAACCTTTCGCCAGCAAAACTATAGATCCGGCTGTTGCGGATGACCGTTGGGATATGGTGTGCAACACTGCCAAACTGCACAGTTTGGGCCACATCAGCGAAGAAATCAGGTTTTGGCCCCAAACCTCTCTCACACAGCTCTGCACGAAAAGCCTCCGCGCAAGCTTTGTCTGCTACATCCATGACCATCTTGCACCAATGCGGGCGACCATCAGAACGAGCAGGGAGTTTGCGAGCATCGGCAAGGCCCTGAATAAAAGCCTCCACTTTTTCTTGCCCAGCGTTCAGGAAAACGCTACCAGTCACCTCCAGCGTGCGAAAGGCAACAGCAGCAAGAGTCTCTTTTGTTAGGGGCAACGTCGGCTTGCCAGGACCCAGCTTCATCAGAACATATTGTCACGGGCGGTTAACAGGGATACCCAGGTCTACTGGGGAGAATGACATTGCATTCAGGCTCATCTGCTGCCCGAAGCAGCGATGAAAGAACTCCAGTGGCATTCCGCGAACGCACTCTTCCAACAGGTAATCTGGTCTTGCGCAATGCTTCATTGAGTAGCACCACGCGAGGAGTGGCAGATTCCGTTCGTCCAGAAACTTCAGCTGGTTGCCTCTGGTTGAAAAAGGTGTGCAAACATTGCCCCCACAATCAATCCACAGCGTGCCAGGAGCAACTGCAGGGAACCATGAGCAATCCTGGCCGTGCAATTTGCAGGGCACATTCTTACGGAAGCTGCTTGCCTGGGTATCCAAGAATCTTGTGGCTTGAGCAAGGAAGTCATCACTGGCAGCCTGGATGATAGCAACCCTCTGCTTTCCCTTGAGTTTGCCAGCTTTCGCCAAGGCTTCGGATCGAATTCGCCCTTGGAGCTCGGAAATGTGCTCCCAAACTTGCGGCTCAGCCCTATCAAGCAAGTCTGTAAACAAATGGGTGGCATGGGGCAACAACATATGGAGATCATCATCAAATCTCTGCGCACGCATAGATCTGAAGCTGGACACGAATACCAGCTTTCTCCATAGCGACCTGGATCATCTTCGAAGCAATCTCCGCCATGCCCATACCACTAAAGGCTGTTGTCAAAACCACACTCAGCTGACCCTTCAAACTGAATCCACCTACCTGACACATGCGCTGGGCCCTCTGTACAATGTCAGTCGGCCAATCAAAGAGCTCTGAGTACTCACGAGGTCCAGCAGGCAAATTCTGACAGTCACTCGAAGCAGATCCGTGCGGCTTTGCCAAGCCAAGGTGGCCTCCATCTGCATCCAGGTTGTGTTTCCGCTTCATGACAAAAAAATTCTGATTTGCTAAACTGCTACTACCAACACAGCACACCGCAGACATTTCGCAACTCAAAAGCTCAGCTCGCTAATTAGTCACATTTGACTTGCTAGCACTCAATTAGCATGATTGAAGTGACATCCCGACATGCACAGGCACCTGACGAGGGCACCCCACCCATCATTGAGCAACTGAAAACCTGCGTATGCTGCATTGCGCAAAGGAGGAAATTGCCCCAGCTTGCTGGCACTTGCAACCCATGACGCTTGTTTTGCTTCATCAAACCTGGAGAGCGGCTGAGTCTTTCTTGTTCATGGGTTTACAGGGCTTGGCGGAGTATCTGCAGTGTATCCAGAAAATGGCCACGAAAGTGTACATTGGCCGCCCAAGTTGGAGTACACTCACTTGAGACACCGCACCAGCTGAAAATGTTTTTGAAATCCAACTGGCTTACTCGAAGCTGCATAGCTCCCTCACTTAATCTACACACAGCTACAATTCTGTCAGTTCCTTGCGCTTGGCATCCGCATCTGCCTTGTCTTGGGGCGCGGGCTGCTCATGCCCACCTGCACCGCCAGCATTCTCTGGACTTGGGGCAGCAGCCAGCTCTGACGCTTTCGGCGCTAGAAGCTGTTCACCCCACTCGAGCATTTTCTGCACGACAGGATCACCCTCGACCCACGTGTTGCTCACACTTTTGAGGTTCTGGCACTGAGTGAGGGTCAGGCAAGGCACACCCACCTTGAAGCCAACCCAACAATCCGGACCAGTTATGCGCTCCACAACCATCCAAGCTGGCGGCTGGTAGATAGCGACACCCTGGCAAAACAGGACTTGCACGGTTGCCGGCTGCACAAGACAAGCTCTTCACACACCAAAGCTCCAGCCTTCTGGACAGTGGCAGCGTACACCACACCACCAGCATCAGCGAAGGCCTTGAGGAACTGCTCGTCCATGCTCGAGAGCTTGTCCTTGGCCATCTGCAAGGTAGCACCATCCTTGAGCGTCTTCTCCAAGAAGCTCTTCAACGTTGCGGCATTGACCATGAGGACCTCACGCGCGCCACTGAGCGCCCAACGGACGGACTCTGTTCAGGAGAGCACACATGACAGACTGGGGAAACAAAAGAGACAGCCTAGACTACTCAGGAAAGGCTAGCTCACAGCAAACGCAAAGGCCTGTGAAGGATTTCTCCGGGGTGCATTTCACGGTGTTCTTGCCAACGATCACGGCCATGGTTTCGAACTTAGCCATGATGTCCGGTGGAGTGTTGTCTGGAAGCTTGCACAAAGGAAAAAATCGCAGTGGCCCTTCCAGAAACAAACACTTTGACCTCGCCCGCAGGCAGCTTCTTGAAGGCTCGGTCCAACCGATGGGCAGGGTTTTGGTTTGCGAACTGCTCTTTGAACTCAGAATGCATGAACTGCATAACCACTGGCGACTTGCCAACTTTATCCTCCTCCCAAGCAAGGAGCTTAATCAGCAACGGACGGTCAAGGTCCTCACCCTCCAACACTGCTTCCTGGGCTACGGGGACCTGAGTGCAGCGATCTGCAAGGCTGAAGAGCCTGCCCGGAGTTTGCATGTTTTGCCTCTGGGCTTGCTTCTTGGCTGCTCGTTGCGCAATCGCCGTCTTGGCTGCCTTGACGCCACGGCAAACATCACTGAGGGCGCTTCGACTGGCACCAAGGAGCTCTCCCACAGTGCCCCTGATACCATTGCACTCTAGCTTGATAGCTTCGACCCCATCCTGGTCGGCGCACTCCATCACCTTGTTGAGCTCGGTTTCCCAAAACTCAAAGCTGCGCAACTTGAGGTAGGACTGGCAGGGCGGTGCATTTCCAAGTTGCTTGGCAACCTCCGCTGTTACAACAGAGGCAGAGCTGCGCTGCGGGGCTTCCTGGCCGTATGAAGCCAAGTGTTCCTGCAGCTTCTCCTCTGGCTGCAGCAAGGCTTGCAAGCATGTAATCCTGGTTCGGGCAATTCGCTGCTCACCATCCAACTGACAAGCTGACTCTGGGGGAAGGGAGCTCACGTCTTTGAGAACTGCTTCCCAGTCTGTGACCAACTTGGCAGCAGCCCCCTTCGACTTGTTCCTGTCCTTTTGTAGCAACTTGTGAGCCTTGTTGACTTCACGGTCGCGATCAAACCACGAACCCTTCTTCCGCTTGTTCTTGCCTTGCACAGCTTCCTCCTGTTCCTCGTCCTCTTCCATCTCCTCATCATTCTCTTCTTTGGTAGCAGGCATCATGTCTGGGAGAACCAGGTCCTTCACATTGCTGAGTAATGCATCGATGCCTTCCTGGCCAGCTGAGGATGTAGCCACCTGAGCGGCCATCTCCTTAAAGGAGGAAGCTCCAGCAATGCGATCATGATGGACGTTGAGGTTGCGTGCCAAATTTGCCGCATCCTCATTGGTCCCTTTCTTGATGCTCTTGCCAGTGCTGACAACTTGCCTCAAGCTATACAAGGTGATTTGTACAAGATGCTGAGAATGCAAAGAGCTAACGTGAGAGTGAACTAAGAACGCGGCTTTGTTCTGGAAACCGCATTGCTGATGTCAACAAACGTTGCCACAGAAACAGGTAAGCGGAGAGCCTCTCCAGGCGGACCCTCATGGTCATGTTCAAGGTTCAGCTCCTGATACGTTTCCTCGAGGCCATTCCACTTCTTTTCAGCCTGTGCGTGGCTGAGTCCCCCGCCTGGGAGGGATTTCCAAAAATCGATCGCCTGCAAGCGCCACATCAACTGGTCCCGGTCCGTCCGCTTGGTCTTGCTGGTCGATTTCACAATTTCCATGTAAGTGACGATGCTCCAAGCTTCTTTGCGACCTGTCCTGCCGGAACTTTTGGCCATCGCGTCTGCATAAGAAGCAAGCATGCGCTTGGTCGCAGCCGCATCCTCAAGTGTCTCACGCAGCCACTCAACGACTTTCGGACCCTGAGCTTTGGCTTTCTTCCACACATTATCAAGCGCAGCCTTACATATTTTACAATTGGTCTGGTTGAAGGCGTATTCGGCTGCCTCTTTGGTTTGCTGACAACTTTTGCACTTTCTGGATCCACCTTTGCTGCTGCTCTTGTGTCTGCCCTTATTGCCTGAGCGGGGCGCCGGCCTAGGCTTTTCGCCGCTGCAAGGCTCTTTACCCTTTGTTTTGCGTTTTGGGGTTGAAGGGGTAGGTTCTCCTTGCTCCATATCGGAGTCATCATACTCCATGTCATTGAGCGCGCCCATTGTCACCCACCACAGGCCCGACGCCAACCGTGTGATTTGCAAGCACAAGAGCAGCATCACGTGTGACCCGTCAAGTGTCACGTGAGTCACGGGCGCAGAGCTACCACACTACTCAGTCACTTCAAGAAAGCCAGCTTGCACAGACTACAGCTCCTCACGATGCAAGCATGTCAGGATTGCAAAGCTCAACAGCACACAACCTCAAGTGCATGCACCTGCACAGGGCAACAAAGCATGACAATCTGACACCTGCCATGTCTGCGCAGAACAAAGATACTTGTTCGGTTGCACTGTGTGTTTTTGCAGCCATAGACCAGGAGGATGCGACTTTTCGCAGAAGATCCCGCCAGAAGTAGTGGATCATGGCACATCAGATGATAATTGATATCCTCCTGCGCGTTTCAGGTCAAGTTGAGGGCTTGGAGAATGGATTCGGGAAGTGAAAGGTTTGGGTTCGAGGGTTAATCCTACATGGGAGCACACAGATTATCCCAGAATTTAGGACCCTCATCCGCCCGCCCTATATAGACGACCCGGGCCCCAAAATTTTCGGAAAATTTTGGGAGCTGGGCGCCCCAGCTGGTTTTCTCTGGGAACCTACGAATTTTCCAGCAAAACTGAAGCCAAACAACATCTTCGCGTATTTTGGAATTCGGGCTTCACGCGCTCGACTGTGCTCGACTGGGCGCCCGTGCGCTCGACTGTGCTCTCCTCTTGGTTTGCTCTTGCGCTCGACTGCGCTCGACTGAACCCCCGTGCGCGCTCGACTGTGCTCGACTCTGCCTGGTGGCCGGGCATCCTGGTTTTGGGGGCGCTCGACCTGCTCGACTCTAGTTTTCGGGCCCTGAACCACCCCTGCAATCCAAAGTGCACCTTCTTCCTCGAAAGCAGCTGGCCAACCCCTGAAAAGCATGAAGTAGAACCAATTCTGCGAAGTTTAGGATTCCCACTTCCCCGCAATTCCCACTTCCCCGCGTTCAGTTTAGGGTTTAGGGTTTAGGGTTAGAAGGGTGAAGGGTGAAGTGTTTAGGGTTCAGGCTCAGAGCTAAAGAAACCACAGCGGCGAAAGTGAAAGCCGAATGCCCCAATCGTTTGGGATCCACTAACATCATCAAAGAAAGACTGCCTTGCAACTGTGTCCGAGTCCTGCTGGAGACGCAGGCGCCGGCACCATGCTGGGATCAGTGACCTTTGGTAATGACAGTCGCATGGGTCAGCTAGATGTGCAAACATGGGCAAAGAAAACGCCATGCACCCAAACCTCGAGAAAGGTAAAGTCTGCCCAGCTGCTGGATACATCACCACATTGCCCCGCCCCCCTGCATACTCCTGCGGAAGCGGGCAAAAGTGAGTCAGAATGATTTTTGAAGCAGAAGCTGAGCAACTATAACGCAATCAGTTCCCACCTTCAGGAGATTGAGGCAGGGAATTGATGAGCTGGATGACCTGAAAGGTTTAGGGTTTAAAGTTTAGGGTTTAGGGTTTTTGGGTTAAGCAACTTCAGGCAACCACCCTGAGAAGCTGGCTGTTGTCTGCATGCTCATGACCGGCAAAGACCTGCTACCAGGGGTATAGGGCACTGCACACATGATCGTGGGAAAGCCGCTGCTAAAGACTAAGGCTTCTCAGGACCAGACTGCACGAAAGATGTAGAAGAAGTTCAACAGAGCTGTCCTGACATGAATTTCGCACGGCTGTTGTTCTGGAAGAACCATAATAGCCCTTTGTCCTTCAATTTGGGATGAAGGTCACGCCTGCAGACCTGATGCAAAAAAGTTTCAGCGCTTGTTCAACACGCTTTCCAGAAAGACGAGCTGAGCTGAGTGCATACTTGACTGTCAGACTGAGAATCTTTTTT